ACATATCTCTCGATAGTCATCCGAAGTTCGCTTGCCTTTTTTTAAAGAAGCAAAATATATCGAAAATGCCCATTATCATTTGACATAGTCATTACACTGTTGTACAAACAAAACAAATGCCAATGAAACAAAAAACAGTTTCGAAGAGACTGTTCGGACTTTGTCCTTTTGGATAAGTATCATTACTGTCAGATAGGACAAAGAGAACTGGAGATATTTCAAAATTATTATCAAAAAACCGAACAGACTTATGGATCAACCCAATATCCCTAATATCCCTAAATAGTACTGAACCCAAGACCCTTCTTAGGTTGTAGTGGTACAGATTATTTATATACGTAATTTCTGATAAATGACGACTGTAGACGATTGCTAAAACATTATTTTATCATTAATAAACTTATCTAAAACATTACAATAGAATACAAGTCCGTTTCCACAGTTCTGATAGTTAATTTAACTTATTGAACACCATATGATTTATAAACAGATGGTTTCCTAACTAATTTAACTATGGGATCCTATATTACCAAATTAAATTATAAATATAATTTATAATTTACATCTCCGTTCGTCGAAGATTCTTTTTCAACAGGAAAAGAGTATGTGATTAATTCAGAACTATGGGAGAACACCATCCTCTTAACGCCTTCCATATAAATGACTTTGAAGTTATGATCTGATGTTACAGTAAAAGCTTTATCTATGAGATATTGTTGCCAATAAATTGATTTATTTATTGCTAGGCATTCCAAATACATTTGAACATATATATTGGCATCTTTCATTTGACCAGGTGTCAATTTCTTAGAAAAATAACCAACAGGGTGTAGAATCTGCTTGTGGCTGCTTCAGAACTGTACCTAGACCTGATCGGCTTGAATCAACTTCGATAACTATATCACTGATCTATAATAAAATTACTGAAATATAATAAAATTACTGAAATTACTGTTTTTAACAACAAATAGATTCAGTGTATCCTCTACTTCTCCTATTTTTAAAAATAGGCTAGACCCGCTCTTGCAAATATTCATCCTCCCCCTTTTTTTTTTTATTCATTTATATTTACAACTGTATTATAAAAAACATACAGGTATTAAATGTACACTCAGGAATATAATAACACGAAATCTCTTGTTGTGAAACTACCCACTGGTATCACTCAAATAATGAATTTACATAAGATTTATAACTGGCCACCTTCTTTTCAGATGCCTTGGAGGATTATGAGGGATCGAGGAGAAAGCAAGGTATGGAACGAGAGGGTTCGGATGGTTCTGCAGTTTTTTATGGAAGGCTAAGTATCTGGATTGGGCCAAATCGGAAACATACGGAACATTAAGGTATTTATGGACGATTATATTTGTGACAAAGTGAGGATCGTTGAGGATTATACGAATGACATTGTATTGTAAAGATCGGAAAAGAGAGGAATTCGATGGTTTAGTGGAGCCCCAAAGCTCAATTCCAGAAGTCCAAATAGGTCTGATTATTGTCATATTTATGAGTCGTTTGTAATTGATTGAAAGCTTGGAGCGTTTGTCTAGTAAATGTTGTAGTCGGAAACGTCGAGCGTTTTCTTGTCGTTTCAGTTTTGTATGAGGATTCCATGTGAGTCGCTTGTCCAGGTGGAGTCCTAGGTAACGGATTTGTTCAACTGGGATAAGTGGGGAATTGGTAAAGGATACTGTAAGACATAGGTTTGCGACGCAGGGTAAAGGTAATTTGATGAAATTCATTGGAATTTATTTTAATTCTCCAGTTTTTACACCATTCTTCAAGGTTTGTGATATGTGATTGAAGAGTTTGGGAAGCAGTTAATGGATTATTATTAACAGATAGGATAAACGTGTCATCAGCAACTCAATCTCATAAACGTCACCCAGTTCCATCGAATTAACTGCATTTGTTTTTGCATCGGTTTATTCCTGCATACTGACATTGGATGAAAACAATTTTTAAAACCAAGTCCCTCGCATATTGTGCATGGTCTTTTATCAAAATCATTTAGTTTTTCTGTGTTCTTCACTATGTCACTCTTCTTCATCTCTACAAATTGCTTTTCTTCAGATCGTTTTTGTATAATAAGAATCACTGAATTTTTTTAGTTTCCTCGAAAGATCAAATATGGTTCCAATCTTATCTCGATCAATCCTATCCTGAACATCTAGCGGTAAATTATACGCTATTTGACAAATTCTATACATTTCAGCCATTTTTTTGTCTGCTTCCAAAAGTAAACGTTCTTTCTTCAGTACAAAATCAATCAGCGAACCGAACATATGCTTGTGATTGAATGCTGTGCGAATGGCGTCCAACTCTTTTTCCCATAAACCAATAAAAATGAAGTCTTCCAAACTTCCCAATCAGCTATCGGTATCTTAATTAAACTGGAACTGCAACATTCTTTTACTTTGCCATCTATAAAAAATCTCAAGGCTTCCACTCTAGTGGAACCATCGAGTATTTTAAATCTCATACATTCTTTCTCAAAAGTGCTAATCCAATTTACAGCTTCTTGTTTTCCATCAAACTTGCTCAACAAAAATATTTGCTCTATTTCAGTTAAAGTTACTTCATAGGTAGTTGAAATACGATCCTCTATGTCTAAATCAAAAAAAATTCATTGGCCGTTTTTGTATTGTATTTTGTAATTGGCCGTTCTCCAAAAGCAGTATTGATGGCACTTGTTTCATATACATAACATTTTCTAGATAATGATCGCTTATTCTGAAGTTATCTTAATACTTCTGTTGAAATTCTGGTCTAAATGCTATAGCAACCTTTCCATAACCTCCCACTTTAGTAATTTAATTTTTACTGACATGAGTGTATGTGGCAAAAGCGCTCTCGCTCAAACTCCACTGGCTTTAGCACCAGTGACGCGGTTGAGAGAGTAGCGCAGGGATTTGGGTTCTCTGCCTGATTGTATATATTGTATATAGGTATGACTGTGTTTTTAATTTACTTATATTTAGGTTATTTTATTTTTTTATTGTACATAGTTTTTATTTATTATTATTTAGTTGTTATTTTACTTTTGTTAATTTTATATTTTTTGTATATATGGTGTGAATGTTTTCATTTAGCACTATAACCTCGAGACAGACTATTATATGTCTAAATAAATAAATAAAAAAAAATTTACTATTTACAATAGATTTAGTTGTTAATAGTTCTTTATGCAAGTCTGAATCCTTCAATTGGTCTGGTATGCCGAAGTATACAATCTTGTCCACCGAAAGCGCAGTTAACTCATACTTTGCTTCATCTTTCTTGACAATATCGACAAACATGCAGTTTCTTACTTGAAGCCATAGTTGGTTGTACATTGTATTCTATTTGTAATACTGATAAATGAAGACTGTAGACGATTGTTAAAACATTAGTTTATTATTAATAAACAAAGGTATTAATAAACAGTAGCAGATAAGATTACAAACCTAACCTAAAACATTAGAATTGAGTACAAGTCTCTTTCCGCAGTTCTGATGGTTAATTTAACTTATTAAACACCATATGATTAATAAACATATGTTTTTTAATTCAACAATGTAACCCTATATTATATTATCAAACTAGATTATGAATATAATTTATAATATTTGATAAATGGCAGGGTTGGTTGTCACTCTGGTGCACATGTATGTTTTTTTTATTATTAACAAATAAGGTCAAAATCCTCAAAAAACCTTCTTCAAAGCTCATCTTCATCAAAAATATTCTAGGTGACTTTTTACAATTAAACCACAATATATTGCTTTTATTAATTTTATATGTGGCAAATCAATGGTTTAGTTGTTGTTTTTTTTAATTATTTGTTGAGTTGTATATTTATGTTTTTAATTTACTTATCTTTAGGTTATTTTAATTTTTATTGTACATAGTTTTTTATTATTATTTTACTTTTATTAATTTTATATTTTCTATATATATCGTGTGAATGTGTTCATATATCATTATAATTATTGTCCACGTGACAGATTATTATATTTCTAAATAAATAAATAAAAAAAAAAATTATTTCCAATGTCATGAAGCCGTTTATAAAGCCGCAAAATCATATAATATTTTGAATTAAATATTCCTCAATCGTTTTTCTTATTCCACATATAACGTATGACGTACAACTATGATGTGTCGAATGTAATAACGATCTAAATAAAATATATATATTTTTATTCTTTTTGCTACTTTTCACTCTTTTTTTTTTCTTGTCCATACATTTTTTTTTCTTTTACATTTAATTTCCTTTTCTCTCTGTCTATTTCTTTTTATACAGCTCTCTTATATTCTACAAGTAAAAAGATGTTTCAAATTACAAAAAGAAACAATATCAAAAAAAGTGTAAATACTACAAGAACCAAATAAAATTTAATAATGTAAAAATATAAATATTTGAATTACTCTGGTAAAAATAAAACCATCCCCAAATAAACAGATTTGTTGCAGAATTAACTAGGCTAAATCTGAAATTCCTTTTTGTATTATGATAAATAAGTAAGTTTCATTGCTTATGCGACATCTATACTAATGATCCTCAACATCTCTTTTTCTTTCTTTTTTATTTTTAAGGGAGGCGGTAAAGAATTTTAAGGCCCTTAGGATTTAGAGGGTGACCTTGTTCGCTTGAATTAAGTGGGAGTGTGCGGCTCTGAATAGAAAGTTATTGTTTAAGTATTCCATCATTTGATTAAGTTTGAAACCATTTTGGTTTGGAAGATTCATTTAAAACAATAATGGTTCGGTTATTGCATTTTTCTTGCCTGCTGCTCTAATTTTTTTTTTTTTTTTTTTTACTGATATGTTATTTAATTTCGCAATTAATACCTTCAAGATTACATCAGATCGTTATTTAACTGATTAGAGATAAAACGGCTCGAGTGAACGACTGTAGAGATGACGGGAGGTGTGCAGTTCGGGGGGGTCGGACGTCGCCCCGCAGTTGCTTGGAGTGAGCCGTCCTCGTAGTATTCAGTCTGCTCCCTCACATCAGCTACAGATGGAGGTTTGCTTCGAGTCTCTGTCTGTCACGGCACCGGTAACCGGTGAGTCTTCCGTCTAAATTTATTACTTATTTATTATTTAACAACAACAAATTTTATTTTAATTTATTCACAGTATCGATTACGTTTTGTATAGATAAACGCAACGGTTTATTTTTGTTATTAAAAACTTTAGTTTGCTAACAAAAGGGAGTGGAATAATTCATTATATTTATAACAATCAGAAATTAATTTTTATAATTATTTATTTATTTTTTTTTTTTTTATTGTTATGAATGTCGCAAAGTGTAATAAAAAAAAAAAGCTTGTTCTTGTGTGACTTTCGAATGGATATGCAATTAATTTTACGAGGTGGTAACATAAATGTAGCAGTAAACAAAAATTAAAATATATTTTCATTTAGGCTCTAACAGTAATGACAAAAATATTAATATTAAACCGAAAAAAAGAAACAATAACATTTCTGTAAACTGATTGGTCTTGTATTGGTTATAAGGATTAAATATTGGCTTGGGTATCAGTCAATTTGAAAACAAATACATACTCCTTTGTTTTTTTTTTTAAATTTACAAATTTAAAAAAAAATGTACGTTTTGTCAAAATAATCTCCAGTATGGTATTAATATAATTCTTAAAATGACCTTATAAAACTTATTTTATCCCTCCTTGTTATATTCATAACTGTCAACAAAATAAAGGAAGCTTCTAAATTTATTTTCGTCGAAATAAAAACAAAACAAATGAGTGGGAACATCCAACTGGCCATAACCCATAAACCTTCACCTCAGAATTAGTTTCTAAACGACCAAAATTGTTTTTAAACTTTTAAACTTACGGCAACTATTTTTTTTTTTTAAGGTACTTAAGTTTTCAATGTGTCCTTATTTTTCGTTGATTGGATTACAGTGCGGTATTTACATACGTAAAATAACTGCCGGTTTATGTAAATCATTATGTTAAGTTATTTTGCATAATGACGTACTAACTTCCTGATCGTATCGAATTGTTAGATTAACGATCTAAAATAATAATAAATACTCTAATCAATATCAGTATGATTCTGTTTTCCTGTTTTTATTTTTTACTTTTTTATTTTATTTATTTATTTATATGATATTTACAACTCTATAAAAAAAAATGCATCTAATAAATTCGCACATGGATATAATGTAATGGATATATATATATATATATATACAGGGTGTTAAAGGTTAAGTGACCAAACTGCAAAAATGAACTAAGGACCTCAAAACGTCGGCAAATAAATTCCTCTGAAGGTATGTCCGCAAACGCTTTGTTTAGGAGATATTCACAACTTAAGATTTTCGTTGTTATGAATTATTTATGTAAAACCTATTTATTTGCTTTAACTATTTTATTAATTAAATGTAAACGTTAACATTCATATTAAATGTTGTTCAAAGTGATTTCCTATAGCATCAAGACAGGCTCGGTATCTTTCTTCAACAGTAGCAGTGAAAGAACGGCTATGGATGTATGTTATTGTCTCACAAGATTCACGTTTGCGGACATACCTTCACTTTGCTCATTTAATATGGATATTAATGTTTACATTTAATCAATAAAGTAGTTAGAACAAATAAATAGGTTTTATTTATTTCATATAACGTAAATAATTTATAACAACGAAAATCTTTAGGTGTGAATATCTTCTTTTGTTTAAAAAAGACATACTTAAATATACATAATTTTTACTAACTAATTAGTATTAGTATTACTAAATTAAATTAGTATGGACTTCATGCTTATTAAACAAGAAAGTTTTCATAAAAGTGGTGTACTTGTAGTATAGTCGGATAATGGTAAAAAAAAAAACCGCGTATAATTTATGATTTTTTTTTTTTAACAGTTAGTTTAGGCGATCAAAATCCTAGTCCTCTGTAAATTGTGTTAATAATGACCATTAACATTTGGCTACTACTATTTGAAGTGAATTTTGTTTAGTTTACAGCGAAGCAATAGTTAATTACTTAAAATTTTTTTATTAATTGAAAATTAATACATTCTGCTACATTGGAGGGCATTAATATTAGGGTAAATTGATTATTCACACGATATGTGCATACAAATGATAAATAAAATAGGGAAAATAAGGAAAAAAAATGTAGAAAATGAATATAAATGTGTACAAAAAAATAAAATAAATAAAACACATTTACACCTATATACAATATTTACATCCACCCAGGAGACTTTGAGTCATACTTCGTCCCCTGAATTTAGACTCCGTCCAGGACTTGAGTGGAGGATTTGGCCATTGCCAGTATTCCAGTATATACATGTTTACAAAAGGTCACGAGGCCACTGCCGTTTAAACCTTCGGGGGAGGGGGGATTGTAGGGATGGCTAGAGCTAGATAGGGATTGTGCCAAAGGATTTTGATGATGAGTGAGATTTTGGTGAAGTTTGGAAAATTTGTCTGTGATTAGGTCAAGAACAAATGTGATATGAAGGATCATTATGGAAGATTTTATTGGTTATATAGAAGGGTCTTCGTCTATTGATTGGAGGACTTTTTTAGGCTGGAAGGATTAAATGCGTTTGATGTTAAAAAGTTTTGCTGTCTCCCACAGTTCTAGTCTGTAGGTCCAGATAGTTTTCAGGATTGTCTTCTAGATTAGTAGTTTGTTGTCGACTGAATGTTGACATTTTCTGTTCAATAGTCTATATATAAATGTCCGTATCGTCAGCTAAGTTGTTTTCTATTAAATGTAGTATGTGGGTTCCTCGTTGGCTCTTATCTAGAAGAAAGCCAAGACACCGGACTGTGTAGGAGAGAGGAAGTGGTGTGGAGTTGAAACAGACTGGTGGACAAGACTTGCGCCAAATGATATGTTTGGATTTGGATTCATTAACTTGGATGCACCACTTATTACACCAGTGTTCAATAAGAGAAAGGTGACTTTGCAGGTTAAAGGATGCTGTTTCAGGATCTGAATTGGGAGATAGAATGCCGTGTCATCAGCGAATGTTGCAAGTAGTGTTTCGGGTTGAGTATGAATATCAGCCTTAAACAGAATATAGATCCAATGTGGACCAAATACGCTGCCTTGAGGAACTCCTGCCTCGATTGAATAACAGTTGAACGATTCTGTACCACAGTGAACTTGAAAGAAGCCGTCAGAGAGGTAGGATCGGAGTATTAGATATAAGGGACTAGGTCAGATGGGTATTAAGCTTGAAGAGTAGCCAATTACTTAAAATAAATATTTCTTAGTTATTTAACAAAAAAACGCTTCCTATTTAGCAAAACAAAAAACGCTTAATATTTAACAAAAAACATGACTTACTTAAAAAAAAACAACTTGGATTTCCTACTTTTCTGCTAAAAATAGGCCCACTATGTATTTAAACATTTTTGTAGAGCTCTTGAGAACTGCTATCTCTCCAATATAAATTTCCCTCTACTTACGGGACACCCTGTATGTATTGTATTATAATAATAAGTTGGATTATAATTATTATTGGATTATTAATATGATAATGGAATGCATGGAGCGGATTAAGAAAATAACTAAATAAATTACTTTCTTTGGCGATTTCTTGTAAAATAGCAATATATTTTGGAATTTTTATTATTTATATTTTATTACTATTCTAGCCTTTACATTGGCAAGTGCAGAAAAAATATCCATTTTAATTTTAAGATAAAAACATGTTCTTTGAATTCACAGCCCGCAGGTGTATATAAGGTCAAATATGAAAAGCTAAATAACTCAGATTTGAACATTTAGTTTTTTGAACGCTTATATAAATGAAATTTTATATTTAAGGTTATAATTTGGTCGAAATTATAATCATAGTATTATTATTTCAATAAATAAAATTTTAATTTTAATAAAAGGTAATAAATACTTTTAATACTTATCCATAATTTTATTTATATGATCTTGGATCAGAAGGAGCAAATATGATATAATATTCATATTCTCTTTAAATAAACATTAATATCATAATATTTATTTATTAGCATTTACCGAAGAAAGGTGATGGTTTTATGTTCCAAATACCAGTTAGATATGAAAAGAAATGGCAAAACAATGATAAGGATGATTAACAATAAAAAACGACTGATAAGAATGTTTAGTTGATTTTCTTAGGCAAAGTTATTGTCTTCGTGGGTTTACTTTGGATTAAACCAAATGTGATAATTGAGGTTTTGATAATTTTTTTTTTGTTCTAACTTTAATCCACATCTGCAATGAGTTTGAAAATAAGTAGATGTGTTGTAATGAATTTGGAAAATGTCATTATAGCCATGAGGAAGGTTAGTGTGCAGCAGCACCTCCTCCCAGTCGTTATTTGCTTCCTTTATTCAGAAAAGGAGATCTTTCATCCATTTCCTTTTCAGTCGTCTTCTAATAGGCAAATTAACGAACTCGTACAAAAATAAAGACTTTGAAATTTACTTTTATTGTAAAATAAAAAGTTACATTGACATAAAGTTACTGATACTTCTTATAAACTAGCCTTGTGAGGCCTAAATTAATTTTACATATCTGACTGTACTTGTACGCCAAAAAGTGTATTTTCGTTGAAAACTCAGATTCAAAAATTTTCACAATCACAATACTTACCCTTACTATGTATTATATATAAAGGTAAGTGAAATTAATATCTCTTCAACCCGCAGCTGTATTTTTTAAAATTATTTATTTAGTAATATATCATTCTGTCAATTGGACAATAGTTGTAGAGCTATAGTTATAACCTTGTGAGGCCTAAATTAATGTTACATATCTGCAAAACTTGGAATTGTCTGTAGGGTATTGTGGAGCTCAATGAAATTATAAAGGAGGGGATGGCTATTATTTAACTATTCCCATGAGAAAGTATTTTTTTTGTTAAAAGTAATAATGAACCAAGCATGTGCTAACTTATAAACTTTTGGAACAAATGGGGATTCATGATCCAAAAGAGCCTTTCTTTTCTCGGACACTATGGACAATCACGTGGAAGCAATGAAGTGTGGGAGGATTGTGGGCATTTTCTCGAGAATGACAGCAAAAATCTATCAATGG